GGCCTGCAGTGAGAGAAATGAGTGGGACTTTGTCCAGGTCCAGGTACAGGCAGCAGGTTGTGGCGTCTTGGGCCAGAGCCAACGCTGCTCCTGGCCTGCAGTGAGAGAAATGAGTGGGACTTTGTCCAGGTCCAGGTACAGGCTGCAGGTTGTGGCGTCTTGGGCCAGAGCCAACGCTGCTCCTGGCCTGCAGTGAGAGAAATGAGTGGGACTTTGTCCAGGTCCAGGTACAGGCAGCAGGTTGTGGCGTCTTGGGCCAGAGCCAACGCTGCTCCTGGCCTGCAGTGAGAGAAATGAGTGGGACTTTGTCCAGGTCCAGGTACAGGCTGCAGGTTGTGGCGTCTTGGGCCAGAGCCAACGCTGCTCCTGGCCTGCAGTGAGAGAAATGAGTGGGACTTTGTCCAGGTCCAGGTACAGGCAGCAGGTTGTGGCGTCTTGGGCCAGAGCCAACGCTGCTCCCGGCCTGCAGTGAGAGAAATAAGTGGGACTTTGTCCAAACAACGCTGCTCCTGGCCTGCAGTGAGAGAAATAAGTGGGACTTTGTCCAAACAACGCTGCTCCTGGCCTGCAGTGAGAGAAATGAGTGGGACTTTGTCCAAACAACGCTGCTCCTGGCCTGCAGTGAGGAAAATGTGTGGGTCAAATAGTCCATACATTGTATGTACGTAGCTCTGATAGACCTGTTAACCGCTTAAAAGTGAGTCTTGCGTCACAATTTGGACAAGATGACCACTTCACTCCCTGAGTGCAGGCCACATACACCTAACTCGCTGACTGCGTCACAATTTGGACAATAATACCACTTCACTCCCTGAGTGCACGCCACATACACCCAACTCGCTGACTGCGTCACAATTTGGACAATAATACCACTTCACTCCCTGAGTGCACGCCAAATACACCAAACTCACCTACAGCGTCACAATTTGGACAATAATACCACTTCACTCCCTGAGTGTCCGCCACATACACCAAACTCACTGACTGCGTCACAATTTGGACAATAATACCACTTCACTCCCTGAGTGCACGCCAAATACACCAAACTCACCTACAGCGTCACAATTTGGACAATAATACCACTTCACTCCCTGAGTGTCCGCCACATACACCAAACTCTCTGACTGCGTCACAATTTGGACAATAATACCACTTCACTCCCTAAGTGCACGCCACATACACCAAACTCACCTACATCGTCACAATTTGGACAATATTGCCCCTTTCATCTCTTTGAGTGTCCGCCACATTCACCAAACTCACTGACTGCGTCACAACTGAGACAATAATACCACTTGACTCCCTGAGTGCCCAGCTCACCGGCCGCTGTAGACCGCAGCCTCGCAGAGATGCTCCAGAGCCAGGCAGGTTTTCTCCAGCATTTTCAACGCCATCATTTTTTTAGGCTCAGTCACGTAGGCCTCTTCCATGAGGAAATACACTGGGAAAAATATCGGCTTGAAATGCTTGGGTACCTCAAGTTCTGGTAGAGTTCTGAAGACGTTAGGGATGTTTTGGTGGGCGACATGGGCATCAGTCCAGAGTGTGGGCACCAGCTGGGGGCATGGGCAGCGAGTGAAGGGTAGGGGTTAAATAATAATGAATAATATAATATAACATAATATAATATAATATAATATAATTTAATATTATAATATATAATGTAATATAAAAACAATTCGAAGCAGACTAAAATAATATTCATTGATGATGTCGCTCAAAGTCTCGTGGTAAAAACACTTGAATGCCTGAAGCACAAATAGAACCTGAAAGCCCCAAATGGCCGCTTCTTTCTCATGACTATGGGTTAAATCAGCCCCAAAGGGTTGCTTCTCACGCAGAACTATGGGTTAAATCAGCCCCAAAGGGTTGCTTCTCACGCAGAACTATGGGTTAAATCAGACCACACAGACAATTCTTTACCCTGAGATCACAAGGACTGTGGTAGTTGCTCTGGGCAGCGCGGGCGCCTCATCTAATCAAGTAACCAAATTTTATCTTGAGACCACAAATGTGCTGCTTAGCGTCGATTTGTTGTAGCCTAAGAAAACTGAAACGCGCAAAGAAATAAATTGAAATAAAGAAATAAAGTTTGTCCAAATAACGATGGTGTTTCGACCTGACCCACTTAGACCATTTAGTTTATATTTTGATAATAAATGAGTACCGGTAAGACTTAGTGCTCACTAAGAAAGATGAATGGGTCATGTTTTCCCATAGGGGGGCAAAACTGGATCAAGATGACCCACAAAAGCGGAAGAATTGCGTAACAAAAACTACGGTAAAATTTAACGAAAGATATACTACTCGGCAACCTTGCAGTTGTAGTTGCCATCCAAGCCACGGATGACCTCAATGGTGGTAGACATGCAAAACAAAATATGCTCGAGTAAAAACATTAAAAATATACTACGTGGCAACCTTGGAGTTGTAGTTGCCTTCCAGGCCGTGGATGACCTCAATGGCGGCGGCCATGTCGTGCAGAGCCTCCAGGAAGATGTTGGCGCATTTCGGCTGCCGTCGCGGGAAGCTGGAGGACAGAACTTTATCCATGAGTATTAATTGAGGAATGAGTGAGGTTTGTTCAAATATTGACGCACTTTTTTGCTTCTATGAAGGTCATCCTGACCAAGTTTAGCCCTGCAAACGAGTCGAACAATTCTATATACAGGGGACTGAGCACAGAAAAAGGAATGGATCATTTTGCCAAAATAGTGACACGCTACTGGCATTGATGCGTGGTTTTACCGAGCAAAGGTGGGTCAGGATGGCCCACGCACATAAGCAAAAAGTGCATCGATATCCGGACAAAATCTCTCAATTTTTCTCAGTGATAGATAAGCCGACATTACAAGAGTGAAGATACAAGATTTTTGCAGAACAAGTCAAATTTCTTAAAGGTCAGAATTAACTGGAAGTTTGGAACTCAAGACATGAGGTGACAATTAATTTCATATGTATAATGTTGCTCATCATAATATATAAATAAAGTTACTCACAGGAGGATGTCTCTTTCATTGTTGAACTCTCCTGCGGGGACCCAGGTTGATGAAGGAAGATTAACAGGGAGTCAAGGGGAGGGGGGTAAAGATCAAATAAGAAATTAGGTTTGCATGCAAGATATACATATTTGGCTGATGGGTAACAACCTTATTATAAGATGGCTACATATTTGTCGAACAGTGACTCAATCCACGTCAAAAATTGGCAACATCCTCGTCAAAAAGTGGCAACATCCTCGTCAAAAAGTGGCAACATCCTCGTCAAAAAGTGGCAACATCCTCGTCAAAAAGTGGCTACATCCTTTCAAAAAGTTGCTACATCCTTGTCATTTGGGCATCCTCGTCAAAAGTGGCTACATCTTTGTCAAAAAGTGGCTACATCCTTATTACAAGGTGGCTACAAAACCTACCTGTCAATAGGTGGCAACATCCATGTAAATCGAGTTATATCGAAATATTTGGAAAGATAATAAATCCTAATTAATATGTCAAAAATAACAAAATTCAAAACGAAAAAGGCCAAGACTTGCTTCAGTTTCTACTATCACTCAGTTTAGAAATTGTAATTTATATTTCAACTCAAATTTGGTAATTTATATTTCAACTCAAATTTAGTTAATTTACATTTCAACTCGAATTTGTAAGTAGTTGCAGAATCGATCCAAATACTTGAGATGCTAATACTTAGTTCACTACAATCGTATCTGTCAGAAAAATGATTAAAACATATCGTCCAAATAGTAACATTTTCTGCATGAGGGACTAATACGCCCTTTTATCGAGTTAGGATGACCCAAGCAGCGATTAAAACTGGGTCACGATGACTCACAATGGAACTAAAACTGGATCAGACGGACCCACTGAATGACTAGAGTGCATTGGTATTAGGACTTTGTCCCATCCATTTTTCTGATTGCTGTGTGCACAGAATTTCTCACCGCACAGGTCCCCGGGAAAGCTCTCCTTGGCACACAACTTGCGGTTCACGCTCTCGTTCTCGTACAGGATCATGACCCGGTGCTGGGACAGGTAGAACCCCAAGATGGCCGCCTCCTGCGGAAGTAAAGGATCATGACCCTGTGCTGGGACAGGTAGAACCCCAAGGTTTGGGACAGGTAGAACCCCAAGATGGCCGCCTCCTGTGGAAATAAAGGATCATGACCCGGTGTTGGGACTGGTAGAACCCAAAGATGGCCGCCTCCTGTGGAAGTAAAGGATCATGACCCTGTGCTGGGACAGGTAGAACCCCAAGATGGCCGCCTCCTGTGGGGGAAAGGATCATGACGCGGTGTTGGGACAGGTAGAACCCCAAGATGGCCGCCTCTTGCGGAAGTAAAGGATCATGACCCGGTGTTGGGACAGGTAGTACCCCAAGATGGCCGCCTCCTGCGGAAGTAAAGGATCATGACCCGGTGCTGGGACAGGTAGTACCCCAAGATGGCCGCCTCCTGCGGAAGTAAAGGATCATGACCCGGTGCTGGGACAGGTAGTACC